GGGGGGGGGGGATTTGCGGAACAGGCATCAGAATGACAATGTCTTGTTAACGCCATTTAGAGAAGGTTTTTTTTAATTTAAATTACTTATTAAATTTTAATTATTAAATTTTAATTATTAAATTTTACTTATTAAATTTTTTTTAATTTAAATTACTTATATAAAATTTAGATTGATGTGAAAATTTGTCGGATTATAGGTTATGAATCACTGACTTTCGCAAATCAATAGTCCTGATGTCCGCGAAAAAATCACATGCCTTGCTTCTAGTTTCTAGACCAGGAGAGATTATACAAAAAACATTTGTGAAGTTTTAATCTAAAAATTGTTTGCTTATGTTCTGGAAGATACATGGAAAAGCGAAATTTGAAGAATTGGAATCAGATTACTTATGCTCTCCCGACCCACATTCACAAATAAGCAATAAATTGTAACTGAAAAATGGAGCACTTGGAGTATATGTACTTGGTTTCACTTGTAGCCATTTGTTTTGTCTCGCTGAAGTATCAATTCGTGCACAAAAAATAAATGATAATAAATAAAGAAAAGAAAATTAATGTAATTTAGACTTTATTTTAAAGATATCTGAAATTGTAAGCAGTGGCGTATCTAGGGTATGGCAAGTATGGCGAATGCCATGGGCGCATTATTTCAAAAAGGCGCAAAATCAATCAACATCAACGATTATTTTTTTAATTAAAAATTTTACTAATTTTTTTTTCAAGTTATGGCAGAATTAAAAAAAGCATCCAACATTTAACCTTTCCTCGAGGGCTCGAAAAGAAGACATCGAGGTCTTTCGAGGAACTCTTTTTATAACTGGGGGAGTGAAATATGAAAGGGAACCGCTAATAATAAAAACAAAGTAGGTGACGAGCGTTAAACAATTTTAACCTCCCACTGTTTTTCATTTTTTTAATAACTTCGTTTGAAAACTCATAGACCACCTTAGTTAGGGATAATAGGAGGGCCAAGGTTTCCAGCTCTTTTGCATAACTCGAAAAGCGCGAGAAATCTCCTTCGGTTGTTATATTATATTCAACATTAAAAAAAATGGGGGAAATAAGAAAAAAAAA